GGGGTGCATATGTCTTTTTGAAACTGGGCTCCTGCATTCTTAGGGTAAATTCCTAGGAATGGAATTCCTGGGTCAAATGGTATTTTTATTTTGAGTTTTTTGAGGAACGTCCATACTGCTTTCCACAATGGTTGAACTAATTTACATCCCCACCAGCAGTGCAGGAGGGTTCCCCTTTCTCCACATCCTTGCCAACATTTGTTTTTGTCTTTTGGATGGTGCATGCCCCCATATTCGTATGATCATCACACACAGTATTTCCATATTTCCAAAGTGTTTCCACAACTTGCTTTTACCTCTGTACAGTCCATCCTTATAAGCCATCTTTTCTCTAGACATAAATGAATTGACAATTAAATTTAAAGAGCAGCAAATACCTTGGTTAATAATTTTGTAAAGGTCTTTCATAACTGGCTATTCTTGTGCCACTTTATAAAAGTGGCTTTCTTTCCACAAGACAGAATCTCTGTCTCCAAGAAGGTGACCTTACTCCAGAGAAAGGACTTACTGAGATCTCTTATTTTCAAGATTATTTTATTTTACATTCATACATGCTAATTACACAGCAATGCATCCCCTTAGATTACTGTCTGATTTCTAAAGATGACTTTGGTATGGAGAGGTGTTTGCCTTAATTGGCATCATCAGCTGTATACAAATCAACCATGCATACAGCCTGTGAGCTCATATTTGTAGCTGATTTTCCTTGGGAGGCTGTAATCTCACATGCTGTTACTTCTGAGTCACATATTTCATGTACAGAAGATATTGGTATGTATAATATGTGATTTTCATGCTCCATAGTGCTTACTGGATCTAGTAACTGTCAGAGATAAAGATAAACAAAGAATAACTGGACTCAACAATTCCTGAAGGACTGTGGAGTAAGAATGCAAAATGCAGGATTTTGGTAGAAACAGCCCTGTAACATTAAAAGAACAATTCACACTGACTGTAGTTGTCCAAAAGAGCATTCTATTTAATCTGCAAAGCTGTTTGAGTATGCCCATTGATTTTGATTATATATGTTTCTACCAGTAGAAGGATTTCACAACGTTTCTTCCTTACAAGACGCCAGACTAATTACATCAAGAGAGGCTGATAACCTACTTGTCTCTTTTGAACCTTTTGAAAACTCCCCTAACTTGAAACACTGGCCAGTGTGATATGGTCTGCAGCTCTTTGTGAGTGGAATAGGAGCTGGTGTTGAGTGAGATAGTAACATTAGTGTGGTATTGGATTTGAGTAACATCAGAGACAAGATAATTGGTTTAACTGAGGTAGTTTGTTCTTCAGTGACCAGAGAGCTCAGTGACTGGCATGGATGCTGCTGAGAGAAGCCTTATTGACATCTGGAACTCAGACAGGCTGGGCTTTGGCACTGTGTGCTCTAGCTCCTTTGAGCCTAAGAAGCCTGTCTCTTGGGCCACTCTGTGTTTAGCATACCTGGAACCTCACTTACATATTCATTTTATGATTTCAGATTAAGGCAAGGCCCTCATCAAGGGGTAAGGGGTGCTTCTAAGCCTTAGCTATTTCTGGCTCTGGCTAGGTCAGTACTGCAAAACTGATGAATATGGTGGCTTCTCGGACTGATCGATTCCTCTATACAGATGGGGCTGGATGCTCCCCCACGTGCCGAATGGTAATGGAGGCTTATTTGCTAACAGAATGGACAAACTGAATTATCTCCACTGAGTGTCATGTTTCTCCATCATTGACTGTGGCAATTTACAACCCAGTCTTTCTCCCTCACCCACATGTAGAACCAACTCTGCTCTGCACAGGCTGACACTAGAACTGTGGTGGGGGGTGATTTCTGGTCTCCATCTTGTCTGTCTTGTTTTATTTCTGTCTACTTGTTTTATATTTAAGCCCTCAGGCTGTTGTGGGTACCCACTTCTTTCATTTCACTTCCTCACCTGTTTCTCTCCACAAGGAGAAAAAACCACAACACAAACAAATCTTAAAAGTGCAGAGATGGTTGTACTATTTTTATATAATTTATTTTAATTATGAAAGGACATCTTAAAGAGTAGCAAGAAAGAGACATTTTAAAGTTATTCTATTCTACGACTACTTCAATGGACTAGATGGATTTCATCAATGCTTCCTATATAGGTAAAGAGTTATTGTATTTCCTTTTTGGATTTTGATTATAAATTTAGAGATGGACTATTAATAAATAATCTCCAGGTGTAAGAAATTAAGTACTTTTGCTAAGATGGGGGTTTTAGATGGTTTTTAGCTCTGTAGCAGGTATGCATGTTAGTGTTGAACCTTACATTTTTATTCTCCAATTATTCAGTTATTTCTTCTCCTTTTGGGACACACTTTCATCTCTTACACATTTACTTTACTTTGGAATTCCATCCACTATTCCTACTACTCTTCAATTATAAGTGCTTGTAAACATTTTGAAATTATTCATTTTTGTTTGTGTTGCATGACTTGATAAACAAGTGTAATCTGAAGACTCATTTGATAAAGTCTTTCTTACAGAGTATTTTATTAGTTCATCATTTAGTAGGTATCATGCTTTTTAATCACAGTTTCCCCTAAGGAATTTATTAAAATGCAATTTTAAAAAGTCATAATAGCTTCAAATATAATATTTCAAAAAACCACAGGAGGTGAGGATTACAAACAGTTGTATAAGTTAGTCTTCCTGTAACTCTTACTGTAAATAATTCTAGTTACATGAAATCTGCACAACAGAAACATTGAAGGTCAAAATAAAGGATATGAATTTATAAGATGCTCTTTCTGTGGTTAACCATTTGGCAAAATGCCCAAATTCTTTTTTTTCTTTTTTTAACTGATACTCTTAGCAAAGAGGGTATGAGTTGCAGGTAAAGTTCTCTTTTTGTATGCGGCTGCAACTTCCTATGGATCATTTACTACAGTCACCCCAGACACCAAGCAATCATTAGCAGACTGGGTCTTGTTTGCTTTTGTTAAGGGTGGAACTACAGCCCAGCATCCTCAGGTTTCCATGGGTCTCCCACCTTCTTCCCTAGAGATACAGCTCAGAGTCCAGTTCCAAATGCCAGATCAGCTTTCGTGGTCTTATGCAAGATTTACATATTTAAACAGTCTTGGCCCCCAGTGTCCATGCCAAGTGGTGGGTTTAGCCAGGGGTCTCCTGCTTTATCATTTCATC